CAATCAGGGTTAAGTGACTTGCCCAGAATCATACAGTTGTCAAACCAATCTTGATGTTTGCAAGTGTTCTGGCCTAGATGAGTAAAGGTGGTGCTGTACGCCAAATCCCTGAAAACTGCTCCCTCCCTTTCTGCTCCACTGTTGCCAACCACGTATTGGTTCAACTTTCCCTCCAAATTAGCAACAAAGTGCTCATGCGTGGAGAAGGGCTCTAATCTGTTGACATTAAGTCTCCTGGTAATTGTCTTGCCTTGTGGCTGCCATTTTTGTTAAATGCAAAAGTTTAGCATAGAGGGGCTAAGTTTATCATGTGTCCAGCACTCTTCTCCATATATGACTTTCATCGCTCTCACATCTTCTCTGTCTCTTCTCCTTACGATGGCATAGTCTATTAAATGCCCATGTTTGCTGTGAGGGTGCACCCATGAAGTTTCGTGCATTTAAGTAAATAGAAGACAGTGTTGGCGATAAGGTCATCAGACACAAAAGTCTTCAGTAGTAAGTGACCGTTGCTATTGCTGTTTCTGACTCCATTCCTCCCAAAGACTCCCTGCCATGTCCGATACTCTGTGCCTACTCTGGCATTAAAGTCACCCAGAATTATAAGCTTGTCCTCCTTCAGCACATTGATGATGAAGGGCTCCAGGTCTTTACAAGATTTTTCTTTGACCTCATCAGGGTTCGTCATGGTGGGAACATAAGCACTGATGATGGTGCTGTGAAGCTCTCCTGCAAGCGTCAATGGCATTCACAAGTCTATCATTCACTCCTTTCAGCAGGCAGTGAAGCTTGTTGACTAGATTAGTTTTGGCTGCAAAACCTATACCAGCTTCATGGAGCTCCCTATCATTGTGGCCATTCCAGAAAAAAACTGTATCCAACTCTGACTTGGGTAAGCTAGCCTTCATTTGCCAGCCTTGTTTTACTCAGGGTTGCTCTTTGGATGCAATATCTACTTAGTTTTCTTCAACAAGAGCTATTTGTCTTTCAGATCTACCAGATTTCGTGCTGTCTATAAGCATGCATACATTCCATGTACCAATGGTGAGAGGAATCACCTTCGCAAAAGTTTTTGTACATTTTTTTTTGTGTTTTGACTGCAGGGTAGGATCCCCACCTTCCATGGTAAGCAGGCTGGGGTTAGGTAAGGTGAATTTTTAGAGCACCTCTTCCAGCCCCTTCCTCATGCCAGGAGGTGAGCAGTATAATGCTTAAAAGGCTACTCAGACACCCAGAGGACTGATTATTCCAATGCTACTTCAGTCCAGTGAGAAGATAATCCCATAGCCTAGGCCACCTACCTGTGTGCAGGGTTGTGACTACAGCTCCCAGTGTATCTGCACCTGCTGCTTCATCACTTGCCTGTCACCACAGGAGTGTGAAGTAGATCAAAATGGTAAGATGGTATGGGTGATGTCTTCTGACTTCCGCATAAATTAGATTTAAGTGAGGCAGAGTTGCCCAAGTCATAGGTTTAATTCTATCTTCCAGAGTCATCCAAGTCCAGTAGTGATACACAAATCAAGACAACTGGCAATGGCTAGGGATGCAGTGGAAGACCTTGGCGTTTTCTTTGTCTAACCTAGTTCTAAGTGCTCCACAGCACCTGCTTCCACTGCCTTCACAACCCATTGGAGCAAACTGTTCACATCTACCTATTCTACCAGGGACACACACACACACACACACACACACACACACACACACCAACTAACCAATGGATTTGAGGTCCTTTGGTTACCCTCAAACTGGTTTAGCCTGTCTGCCAAAATAGTTTACTGGGTGTGGCTACTGCACATGCTACAGCTTCTTGGAGTCACAGGTGAGAGTTGGGTGGCAGGTGAACACCAAAGGTGGAGAGCAGCCCTCACATCAGAGGTACTAGTCTTCCCTGAACGCCCATACACCCCTAGACACCCAACAACATCCATCAGAGACTGAACCCAGGGAGTAGAGTAAGTTAAACCAGACAACAGAGATGCCATCCTAAGAAGAGTCCAACAGTTGGGCAACCTGTCCAGCCCTCTCCGGCAGCAGCTTCTCCAGTGGCAGAGCCCACCAGTAGCCCCCCCCCCCCCAATGAGGAGCCAAGCAACCTGTTGGAGCCAAGTCAGGAGCATATTGACCTATCCAGCTGAGATACTATATGAAGACCTAGCCCAGCAAATCAAAGGAGCAGACTTATTCATCCTTCCTCCTCTTCATGACAGTAGGGAATATCTTGAGTCTCTTGAGAAGAAAGAAATAGCACTGAGGTTCATCAATTCTGCAGTTGTGAACTGGCTAGGCCTTGAGTGTTCTCTCCATTTGTCCCTCACTGTGTACTCATGTCCCAACAGACTCTTGTGTATTTGTGAGAGAATGTATTCCTGGTTTGCGGAATAGGGGAAATGCTTTGTAACTACTATGCTTGCTATACCATGTATTTTGCTAAAGAACCAAGTTAACTGGTTGCTTGTTAACAGGAAGTAGATAGATGGTGGCACCTAGGTGGCTGGGCATGGAGTCGAGAGTACCTGAGTTCACATGCAGCCTCAGACATTTACTAGCTGTGTGACCCTGGGCAAGACACTTAACCTATTTGCCTCAGTTTCCTCAACTGTAAAATGGGGACCCTGGAGAAGGAAATGGCAAATTATCTTTGCCAAGAAAACGCCATAAAAATGGGGTCACAAAGAGTTAGACACGACTTAACAAAACTGATGGTGGTTCATGAACTAGTGTTAGGAGTACAGTATGGATTATTATTTATCATTTATTGATATTGTTTGAACCTAGCTTTATGTGGCTAGGAAGTAGGATCTAAGCATTCTTTACAACCCTCTGGCTTCCCTGGAGGTCTCTGAGATCCACCTGACCTCTGCAGTAAGCTTTTTGGGTCAGACAGTTTTCCAGCCACACATATCTAGGCTTAAACAACATTAATAAATGATACATAATAATCCACAATAGCCAGGATTATCCTTAGAACCCTGGGAGGAGTAGCATTTGAGAACACAATCTGCCAGTGTGGGGAGGGGAGGAATGTAACACATCTGTAAAATAAGTGTTGAAGTAAGGTTTCATCAGTTCTAAATCCCTTAAAACAATAATAATAATAATAAGTAGCTAACATTTATATGGTGCTTACTATGTGCCAGGCACTGTGCTTTAAAATCATCTCATTTGATCCTCATGACAATCTTGGAAGGTAGGTGCTAATATTATGCCCTTTTGATAGAAGAGGAAAACTGGGGCAAACAGAGGTTAACTGACTTGCTCAGGGTCACACAGCTGGTCAGTGCCTTCGGGTGGGATTTGAACTCAGGCCTTCCTGACTTCAGGCTCAATGTTCAGATAACAAGCATATTAAAAACAGTCCTGAACTTAGAAATCACAGGTCCTGAGTTTGAAACCTGGCGATTACTATCAGTGTGATCTTGGACAAGTCACTAGAGAGCTAGGGCCTGTTTCCTTATCAGCAAAATGAAGGTTTTGCTGAAGATAAATTGGAAGGTTTCTTCCAGATCTAGATCTAAGGTCACAGGGGTGTAGATTTAAAAGGGACTTCAGAGACCATCTAGTGACTAGGTCCTAGTTCAATCCGCTCAACTTACAGATGAGGAAACTGAGGGCCAAAAGTTGTACATGGAATGTCAGAGGAGGGGTTTGAATCCATCTCCAATGCCAAGGGCAGCTAGGAGGCTCATCTGATAATTCTCTGGGCCTAGAATCAGGAAGACTCATCTCCCTGAGTACAAATCTGGTCTCAGACACTCACTGTGACTCTGGACAAGTCACTTGACTTCTGCCTGCCTCAGTTTCCTCATCTGTAAAATGACCCGGAGAAGAAATGCAAACCACGTCCACTTCTTTGCCAAGAAAATCCCAAATTGGGTCAGGAAGAGTCAAACACGACTCAACAACTACAAACCCTGAAGCCAAAGCTAGGGGTGCTTTGCATTACACTTTGCATTCTTCTAGTTCTAACATTTTAAAGCTTGAGGTCCCGTTCCCCTTCCATAAGCAGCCAAAAACAACTCTAGTCTGCCCCATTTTACAAGTTCACAAGCCTATTTCTAGGTACACCTTCCCCACCCCACACTGCTTCCGAAGGCCTCCTCAGATCAGCACAACCTCCCCCTACCCCCACGTCCTCCCTCCCTCGCAAGGGACGGAGGATGCACGGTCCCTTTAAGGGGGGAGGCGGGGACCTACTGGGAGACACCCACTTGGCCCAGATCCCGGGAGGGAAAAGGAGAGGGGGGAGTGACAGAACGGGGCGGGGCGGGGCGGGGCGGGGCGGGGCAGAGAGGTGGCCCCTGCCTCTCCAGCTTGCTCGCCCTGACCCCGCGGGGCTGCACCATGGTCTGGCAGCTGGCGGCAGTCGCAGGCAGGAGGGCAGTCGGGCTCCGATTCCGCCTGGGGCCTCTTCTAGGCAGCCCCTTCGGACCCGCTGGCCCCTCGGCCCCGCGCCTTCTGCTCCTGCTCGGGCCTAGCCCCATGCACGCACAGATAAGCTTCCTTGGAACAGGAGGCAGTGGCGGCGGCAGCCCCAGCAGCAGCAGTAGCAGCAGCCCCAGCGGTAGTCCTGGTAGCAGCAGCAGCAGCAGCCTCGTCGATAGCAGCAGCTCGGGCAGCGCCGGCGCCCAGGTAAGCGCCCCGCCACTCTCAGCCCCGCCGGGCATTCCAGCCCTTCTCTCCACTTCCTCCACCCTCGACCCCATCCCTAGGCTTTGGGCACCAATGTCCATCCGGTGCCCCCCTCCACCCCTTTCCACCCCAGCCTCCCTGCTTACCTCCTCCCCACCCCCCACTACTTAGGGAGGTACGAGATAGGTAACCTTGTGTGGTTCCATGTACCCACTGCTTTGGGATAGGATTGAGGAAACGAAAGAAAGAAGCACTTTATTATTGGTTCTCACCACTACCCTGTGAGATAGGTCTTAACTGTTATTCCATTTTACAGTTAAGGCTACCAAGAAAGGTAATGTAAGTGACTTGCTCAGGTTCACATAGCTATTAAGCTTCTAAGGTTGAATTTGAACTCGGATCTGGCTGACTCCTGGGCCTTCCCTCTACCCTTGCTCCATACAATTGCCTCTGAAGGAAGGGTGGGGTCTACCTTCTGGGTGGGACTGCTAGAAGTGTAAGGTTAAAAAAAAAAAGCACCTAACTTAATGCCAGTGCCATTCAACTTATATTTATTAAGCATGTACTATAGTCTCCATACCTCGAGGAGAAGAGGATAGGCATTTATCTAGTGCCACTATGTGCAAGGCCCTTTACAAATATTATTTCCTCTGATGCACATGTTGTAATTAATCCCCATTTTGTGGTTGAGAATACTGAGGCAAACAAGGCAAACTTTACCAGGTGTCTTCCTGACTCCAAGCCCAGTTCTATGCATTCGATGCCTCATTAAAAGATTTCACATAGGCCATGCTCTCTTGGAGCTAATGTACTGGAGGGCAGCATTGGGAACCAAATAACTTCTAATATAAAGAAAAATGAGATAAGTTTAAAGGAGAGATGGAGGGAGTGGTCCTGGTCAGGGTCAGGGAAGGCTTCAGAGACAAATTGACAGAGGGTCATGAAAAAGATTTGAGTAAAGGTTCCTAACCAGGAGAATTCGGGAGGAAAAGGAAGAAAAGTTTCAGTGATGTCCAGACACTTATTAGCGATTTAACCCTGGAAAAGTCATTTAACTTCTGAGACCTTCAATTTCCTCCTCTAAAATCGCAGTAAAAAATACTTTCCATACCTGTCTCATAGGATTGTTTTGAGAAAAGTACTTTGTAAACTTTAAAACACTGTCAATAAAATGTATACTATAGTATCATTCTCCTCTTACCCAGTGATCCTGAAAGGTTTCAAAACAGAATCTAGCAAGGGAATCTGGGAGGTGGGAAGGAATAGAAAACTTGCTCAGTTACTTCCTGAGTCAGAAAATCTGTGTTTTAGTCCCAGCCTTGCTCCAGACTCCCAATACTGAGCTCTCTACCATGCCTTCCTCTGATAAACAAACTGAAGAGACTACACTAATGGACCGGGATCTGTCCTCCCCACCCCCAGGCCTACCATGCATTTATTGTATGAAGTTTACTGAGGAGATTGACCGAGGCTTCATAGACTCTTTGTAGTGGGTCAGCCTGCCAGAATTCCAGCTGAAAAGGCCTTGGTATCTAATCAACCTCAAAGAATTGTTGTTTTGTGTGTGGGAATTTAGTTAGTTGTCTAGCCTTATAGATTAGCCTTCCTCCTGTCAGCTCTGGGCTTCAGGTTCACGCTGATTAGAATGTCCCTCAATGAGAGGCTGGGAAAGAGTTGAAACTCTTGGTTAGCAATCTAGAAAAAAATATAGTAGAAAGGCTGGTTGTCGTTGTATTGCTGAACGAAATGGGAAGGAGCTTGTTTTGACATTCTCCTGAGTTTCAGTCCTTGATTTCAGGACAAAGTTGGGAACACAAAGTAACTGTGAAGTGAGTTTTATGTTCAGTCCCCCCCCCCCCCCCCACACACACACACACGCAGTGAGTAGAATGTGGGAGTAAGCATAAATGATAGCTCAAAAGCCTGAAAGCTTCTGATAGCACCTCCTATCTCCTGAAGCCCTTGACACTTCAGACTGCTGCAGTTGTGATGCAGATTTGGCTCTAGATAATCACCTCAGCTTTGGGGCACTTGCACTCAGGGGCTCTCTCTCTCTCCCTCTCTCTCTCTCTCTCCCTCCCCTCCCCTTCTTCTTCCCCTTTTCTCTATCTTTCCTCCCCCACTTCCACCCCTGTCTCCCTCTGCCTCTCTCAGACTCAGACTCTCTCACACTCAAGACAGTATAGAACAGACCTTCCCTTTATTTAGAAAAAAAGGGAATCTTCACTAGTAAATACAAGGTACAGAGTCCATACTGAATAGCGCCTGTCTGGGGCATGAATGAAATCAAGGAAATGAGTTAGATCTCCAAAGACACACTCCCAGCAGAGCTAAAGCATCTGCTTTAACTCTAGCCCAGGGAGTGGGGGAGGCATAATATAATGAGTAGGGAGCCAGACTTGGAATCAGGAATCAGTGTTTAACCCAAAGGACTTGGAAGTGCCCTAAACCCAGCTAGAGGAGCCTGTTCTATAATCGATAAACCCCGATATACCTCATCTCTTCTTGCCAATACAGTCTATGTACCGCTATCATCAGCTCACCCCAACAGGGATCAGAAGTAAGCAAGACTATAAACCACAGAAACGTGGATTCAATCCATGTGGAATCATAAAAAATGGATTCAAATCCTGCCTCTGATGACTACTAGCTGTGTGACCATGGGAAAGTCCCTTAATCTCTCTGATCCTGAGTTCCTACATTATGGGGTTTTCTTTAGGCCCAAGTTAGATAATGTGTTTAAAGGGCTTTCTAGACTTTAAAGTACTTTATAACTATCTTTAGAAAACACTGTTGTTACCTCTTTCCCCATCCTGAGGCTATAGATAGCAGTTTTCAATCACAGACACCCTGAATATGGCCACTGAATAAGGCCTTTGGCCACATGTATGTTAGGAGGCCTCTTCAGCTTCTCCTACAAGCTGTCCATCCATCAGCCTGCCCAGTGTGATGTTTACCCAGCTTTCTCATCCATCTGCCCAATTCCTGAACCTCCAAAAGGGAAAACTGATCTGTTTTCACGTCACAAAGCCTGACCTCAGAGGCCAGCTTTCAGATGCAGCTACATCTCAGAATATCTTTGCCCATCTTAGAGCAGTGGCATAGGCAGAAGGGGATCCAGGGAGAATGGCTCATGCTGCCCCATACCCATGCTTTTCACTGCTTCCTTCTAGTTTCTAAAAAGAGGAAGAGGAGCATGATAACAGTGTGTAAAGTGCTATTTTTTTAGTCTTGGGATCTAGATTTGGTCCTGGCTCTTCCACTTAGTACCTGTATGTCTCTAGACAAGTCATTTTAAGCTTCCTAAACCTCCATTTGCTCAGCTCTAAAATGAGGTTGGATGGGGTGGGGAACCTTCGGCCTCGAGACCACATGTGGTCTTCCAGGTCCTCAAGTTTGGCCCTTTGAATCCAAACTTCACAGAACAAAGCCCCTTAATAAAAGGATTTGTTCTGTAAAACTTGGGCTCAGTCAAAAGGCCTCACCCAAGGACTCAGGAGGCCACATGTGGCCTCGACGCCCAGGTTCCCCATCCCTGAATCTCTGAAATTTCTTCCAATTCTAAATCCACGATCCTGGGCAAATTGTATTTCCAGGCTGATTTTCTGCAGATACCTAGCATCAGACAAGGGTATATACAGTTTAACATTAGCAGAGACCTGGTAGGCATTCAGTTGAATGAATGGATAAGCAAAGCTTTGGCAAACAAATTTGAGATTAGGAGGAAGGGAGGGATATGATTCATTCCTGATCAAATCTAAGTTATTCGGGAGTACAGAATAGGTAAGAGTTAATTTCACCTAAATTCTAAACATTTTTTTGCCTTATATAGTTTTTTATGGGGTACTGAGAAAAGTTGAATAGATTGAAAAAAAAAGTAGACTAAACTACTCTATTGTAAAGTACACCGTCTAACAGTCTTTTCTTTGCAAATATTAAATGCCCTTTGGAGGGGAGAGGAGAGGAAACAAACAGAATTTTTTTTAATATCTCCCCTCTAAATCAGGGTTTCTTAACCTGAGGGGCTCGTGAACTCCACAGCACTCTGTAAATAGATTTCAGAGGGTCCAGGGACTTAGATGAGAAAAAAAGATAACATCTTTATTTTCATTTTCCTTTAAGTGAAATCCAAGATTTCCTTCAGTTAAAAAAAATTATTCCAACAAAGTGTCCTTGGTTTTCACCAGACAGTCACAGGGGTTCATTACACAAAAAAAAGGTTAAGAACCCCTGCTGTAAACCATCAAGTTGTCTCTCTTTCTCCTTGAATTTTAAAAGCCTTGCTCTTGGTTTGTAGGGATTGAAATAACAACCCCCTGGGATAACCGGAACAACATGTATCAAAATTATGTCAGTTCTATAGCAAATGTAAGAGAAAGAAAAGATCTTTAGAATGCCCAGAATATCATATCAGACTGAATATTTGCTGCACTTTTCCCCAGAAATCTAACTTGTATAAAAATTGTGTGATCTAAAATGGGTGTGACTTTTTTTCCCATGTATAGGTATACATGCATTTTTTTTTTCCTTTCAAGGACATCTTTTTTGAGGGCTGCAGCATGTTGGAAGGCAGCCTATATTCATATTATTACTTTATATTTGAAATGTTCTGGAATGAAACTGCAGAGCAAATTTTAGATTGGGGGACAATTTAGTTTTAATTAGCTGGATTCTATTTTGGCATTTACACCAAGTATTGAAAGAAGCCTTAAAGAAAAAGTGGTCCCAACTTTGATTCCTTTCTAGGCTCCAATTTGGCATGTTACTTTACCAACAGAGAATAAATAAATAAATCTGCCTTTCATTTAAGCAGACCTAGAATAAAAATGGCCCTTATCTTCATTAAGACATGGCCATGGGGCTCCATTCTGAAACCATCTTCTGTGTTAACCTAACCTCCGTCATTTAACTCAGTGCCCATTGCATTTTGCACCATCCCCCTACAGAAATGGAATCCATCTTGTGTGTACTGTAACTTGATTAATACAACTCTTTTTCTC